AAATAGCACATATGGAATCATGTAGTAACCAAAAAAGTGTTAAACAATTCAAAATATATTTTATATTTGAGATTCTTCAAATAGCCACCCTTTTCCTTGATGACAGCTTTGCACACTCTTGGCATTCTCTCAACCAGCTTCACCTGGAATGCTTTTCCAACAGTTTTGAAGGAGTTCCCACATATGCTGAGCACTTGTTGGCTGCTTTTCCTTCACTCTGTGGTCCGGCTCATCCCAAACCATCTCAATTGGGTTGAGGTCTGGGGATTGTGGAGGCCAGGTCATCTGATGTAGCACTTCATCACCCTCCTTCTTGGTAAAATAGCGCTTACACAGCCTGGAGGTGTGTTGGGTCATTGTCCTGTTGAAAAACAAATGATAGTCCCACTAAGCCAAAACCAAATGGGATGGCATATCGCTGCAGAATGCTGTGGTAGCCATGCTGGTTAAGTGTGCCTTGAATTCTAAATAAATCACAGACAGTGTCACCAGCAAAGCACCCACACACCATAACACCTCCTCCTCCATGCTTTATGGTGGGAAATTCTCATGTGGAACAAAAAAATCTCAAATTTGGACTCCAGACCAAAGGACACCGGTTTAATGTCCATTGCTCGTGTTTCTTGGCCCAAGCAGGTCTCTTCTTATTATTGGTGTCCTTTAGTAGTGGTTTCTTTGCAGCAATTCGACCATGAAGGCCTGATTCACACAGTCTCCTCTGAACAGTTGATGTTGAGATGTGTCTGTTACTTGAACTCTGTGAAGCATTTATTATGGCAGCAATTTCTGAGGTTGGTAACTCTAATGAACTTATCCTCTGCAGCAGAGGTAACTCTGGGTCTTCCATTCCTGTGGCGGTCCTCATGAGAGCCAGTTTCATCATAGCGCTTGATGGTTTTTGTGACTGCATTTGAAGAAACTTTCAAAGTTCTTGAAATGTTCCGTATTGACTGACCTTCATACGTAAAAATGTATGCACGCATGACTGTAACTTGCTTTGGATAAAAGCGTCTGCTAAATGGCATATTATTATTATTATTAAAGTAATGATGGACTGTCGTTTTCTTTGCTTATTTGAGCTGTTCTTGCCATAATATGGAATTGGTCTTTTACCAAATAGGGATATCTTGGTTACCAACCGCCATATAAAATCCACAGAAGAAGAAGTAGGCCACAACCAGTGCATGGGCTAGAGGGGACAGTCACGGTTGCAGCAGACCAGCCGATAAGACTTCTAGAATCACGGAACGAAGAAGAAGCCCATGGTCACAAGATGGCGGGTATGCCCGAATGGTTGCCGGACTTGGAGATGGAGTCAGGGGAACCTATTGAGGTCGGTAAGAAGGCAGGCAGGGAAAAAAAGGAAGAATGTGGAACATATTAAGAGTAAATATGGAGTGTTGCAGAAGGAAATTGAATATGACAAGAGTGAGGGTGAATTCACTACGGTGGCAGGTGCCGTGAAGAATGCTGAGTTTGAGCCTCATCCCCATGGTGATAAATATGTTTTTTTGCCCAGTGGGAGTGATGATTTTTGGATAGAACGGATCCTTGCCTTTTTTCTTTTTTTTTTGTGATTGTACCCCATTTTTGTGGTATCCAATTGGTAGTTACGCCCATGGGTCTCCCAGTCGCAGCCGGCTGCGACAGAGCCTGGACTCGAACCAGGATCTCTAGTGGCACAGCTAGTACTGCAATGCAATGCCTTAGACCACTGCGCCACTTGGGAGGCCTGATCCATGCCTTCTGTGTGATCCATATGTGGTGTTGGGTTGGGTGGAGAAGAGATTGGGAATGTTGGGTCGTTGAAAGTGACTCGAAGTGGAATCGTGTAGATATTTTGCATTTCTGTCGTCCAGAGGGAGCGTGCACTCCGCACCCCGCGACTGGGGACAAAAACTGTGACTTGCTTTCCTCTCTAGAGCAGGATGCCATTGAAAGGAGTGACAACTGGAGTGGCGTTAAGTGTTGAGGAGGGTCAACTGAATTTGAAGATTCCCGGTGTCTGTGACGCCCGCCGTTTGGTGAGACGCAGACCCGGTGGCGAGTGTGGTGAAACAGAGAAGACACTGTCTGTACTACTGAGTTTTGATGCAGAGTTTTTACCAGATAAAGTCAAGTTAGGATGTGTCAGTTAGCCCGTGAGAGCTTTTGTCCCGAACCCATTACGGTGTTTTAGGTGTCAATCTTATGGTCATGTGGCAGCAGTGTGTAGGAGGGAGATTCCTAGATGTGAGAAGTGTGCAGGAGGACATGAGACAAAGGAATGTGTAGTATCGGTGGGAAGAGTTGTGTGTGTAAACTGTAGGGGTACCCATGATGCTGGAGATCAGAGGTATCCGATGAGAGAAAGGCAGGTTGAGGTTGCCAGGATCAGAGTAGTGCAGAAGGTGTCATATGCTGAGGCAGTGAAGAGAGTAGTAGAGGAAAATGGGTCCAGGGTGAGGGATCCTAAGAGGATCCTTGTCAGTAGGCCATGGTCAATAGAGCGCGATAGGCCTCCTGTAGCTCAGTTGGTAGAGCATGGCGCTTGCAACGCCAGGGTTGTGGGTTCGATTCCCACGGGGGGGGGGGGGGGCAGTATGAAAAATGTATGCACTCACTAACTGTAAGTCGCTCTGGATAAGAGTGTCTGCTAAATGACTAAAATGTAATAGGAATAACATGTGCTTAAGTACGTTGTTGTTGCCGTTCATGTCCATGGTTGTCAACTGTACTGCAGGAATGGGACATATTTCACAGATGATAGATGTTGTGGTGGCAGCTGATTTAGAATAGTAGGCTGATACACAGCCAATTCAGTAGGTGGCAACATGTACCTATAACATTTGTTTGAAGACCGCCATAATATAGAAGAAGAAGAAACAGAGCATGGTATTTTATGCGACAGGAACAGAGATATTAAGCAAAGGAGGAGATAGGAATCCCATTAGTCAATGGATGGAGGAACGTATAACGCCCCACCCAGCAGACTGTCGATCAATTGTGTTCACGTTGTCATGCTGCTTTGTGCGGTTGCTAAGCTAATGGTCATGTAATAGAGTACCACAGTATGAGTCATAATACCCATGAAACCTAGCGGTCAAACAGGGAAATGGTTCCAATCATTTTTTCACCATTCATTTTCCCCATAAGGGATTTTAGAAACACTTTAAACAAGGGCTGTGTAGGCTTACCCTGGCGTAACGTTTTGATAACCGTGTAAATCTCTCTAGGACAAGGTGACTTTTATCGATATATTCACCTGTATTTACCCCCCAAAAATGAAATGCTAATTAACTGCTAATGTGGCTATCATAAAGAACTACAAATGCCATGATGATCTGGACAAGACAGCCGAATTGAGGCAAAAGTAAGAATCTCTGGATTAACCATCTAATGTTAGCTAAATGTAGTAATGAAAAAATTGGCAACATTTCTTTAAATGGACAATTCTGTGAACTGTCTTGTGCAAGTTTTAAATTGACACAATACCTGTTAGCAAAGGTGTCAGCTAGAGATGACGTGCAGGAGCTTGCAGGGATTTGTAGTCTTGCACGAGTAAATAGAGCCTAATATATTGATAAAAGTCACCTTGTCCGAGAGAGATTTACATCTTTATCAAAACGTCACGCCATGGTAAGCCTACATGAAACACAGCCCTTATTTTAAGTGTTTCTAAAATACCCTATGGGAAAAATGAATGCTGAAAAAAAACCTATTGGAACCATTTCCCTGTTTGACCGCTAGGTTTTATGGGTATTATGACATCTCCACTGTGGGGCTCTATTCCTTCTCAAAGTCAGGGTATGAATCAAGAAAGTGTCTATTTTCCTCGAAAGTGCGTAATGTCACGATTCCAAAGCTATACAATATTACATATAGCAAGTGAATTATCTCACATCTCTGAAAAGATTTGTAATGTTGTACTTCTTGTCGACGAAATTCATGCTAATGTTGGATTTTTGAGCTAGCGCCCAATTGACTCCCATTCCCTCCTTGAAGGAGAGCTCTCCTTGTCACAGAATCGCAATGGGCGATAATACGATTCCAATGTAGTTTCCTATCTCCTCAAAAGTACCTCTGAGGGGAATTAATTTAGTGTTACACCCGGAAACAGAATAGTTGTAGTTTTTTGCGTTTACTGCTGATGGAGCTAGCGGTGTTGTGGCGGGTAAGATAATGTGTTGTTTTGTAAACTGATATTCACCAATTAATTTTAACATAGTATTCGCCTTGTGGGAAATTCGTTTGTTGAAGTGTTGTCCTGTTGAGAAGAATTTCCAGGCTAGTAGCGAAGGCAGTTTGTTAGCTACTTAGCTAGCTAGCTTAGCTTGCTAGCCGTCATACCACAACGACAGGCGCTATGAGGATGCCATTGCCACTGACTGATGCCATGGCCAACACCACTCACTCAGTAACAGCTAACATTTGTCAACTGAAGCTAACTGTATGCAAACGTCTGCATACATACTACCTCTAGCTAGCTATGTTACATAGCGAGGTCTGATGGCTAACGTAAGTACTTTACAGAAGGAGCTGAGCAGAAAAGTATTGACATTTAGCTTTGAGTGTTAGCTAGTATTAGTAGGAGTAGCTAGTGTCCATATGTGTACAAAACATAGTGTGCGTGTCATTCCTTGCCCTCATCCAATCTGAGCTGACAACTGGACAGGTAAAATCGAATTATCTTATACTTACTAGCAAGGATATTCTATTCTGCCATATGGCTTCCCCCCATCTTGTTAGACCAGTGCAGATCAAAGGGTCCAGAGGATAGCTCAGCTGGTAGAGCACGGCGCTTGTAACGCCAAGGTAGTGGGTTCGATCCCCGGGACCACCCATACACAAAAATGTATGCACGCATGACTGTAAGTCGCTTTGGATAAAAGCGTCTGCTAAATGGCATATTATTATATTATAGAGGACACAAGGATAGGGAGACACTTTAGACTAGTGATACATGCCCACCATAAACTCTTTCCATGGTTGTTCTCAATCAATGTCATAGATGGTACTACATGATGAGTCTGGTCCGCAAACGCAAGTCCAGCTCTCTCAAAGGCGGCCCTGCCAAGTCTATTAGGACAGGGCAACTACAGTCTACTAGAACACCAGCATCCCACAATGCATCATCACCACTCACAACAGAGGCCAGTGCCATCGTTACCATTTCCAAGGAGGAGAGAGGCCTGGAGATCCATGGGACATCGTCGCCATGGAGACGGTCTCCCAGGTTCAAGAGTCATGGCCTGATTGGCCAGGTTCCCAGCCCAGACCTTCTTGTTGCTGATGGTAAGTAGAGGAAAGGGAGAAGGGGGCAAAGGAGAGTAATTCTCACTTCACATTTAGCTTTTAATGATACGTTTTATCTATGTTTTGTGCCTCCTACCTAAGCAATTGATATATAGGTAAATAAGTGAGGGTCTTGGATTTGCAGGATCTCCAGGTCAGGTAGAGAATGAAGAGGAGGCTGTCCAATGCAGCCCTGTACAGTGCCCCCCTCAGATAGAAGAGGATACAGACACAGACCTGGTCATCACTATGGGTGAGGAAAACCTATATCTATTAACTGGCCGCCCTTAGCAATTGATCCTGAAACAGTACTCACATCTTGTATAAAACATGAACAAGGTAAGGAACGGTGCACAAAATGACCTCCGAGCAGGACCTGGTCCACAATTGATCCAGAAGTAAGCTCAGCTAACCATTTTCCTTTTATAGCATGAGAAAAGCATACTGTAGGAGCTCAAGACTGACTGACTCTCTCTCTTTCTCTCTCTCTTGCTCTTTCTTTCTGTTTCTCTTTCTCTGTCAGATGCCAGGCAGGGCGGGGGACACAAGGGCAACAGGAAGAAGGGACGAGTAAAGAGGAAGAGCGCTGCGGACGGAGAGGTGGGGGACGGACAGCAGGAAGGGGCCGGTCCAGAGGTGGAGATTGACAGGGAGCTGGACCGTGAACTAGAGAACAAGTCCAGACAACACAACTTGACCACGGCCAACGTCCGCAACATCATTCATGTGAGTGCAGAGAGGGGCCGATGCACCACTCATTATGACCCTACCCCTAAGTCACTCATAGCTGCAACCTAGCCAATGTTCCTTATGCAGCTAGTGTGGACTGTAGATTTCCTACAAAAACAATTTGCCTAAAACATCACATACACATAGACTGACAGACAAATACAGACAGGCTAATTGTAAGCCTGGTTTTAAACCTTTTTGACCTTTCACCCACAGGAAGTGATCACCAATGAGCATGTGGTGGCCATGATGAAAGCAGCAATCAATGAGACAGAGGCCGTGCCTGCCTTTGTGAGTGTCAACCATTGCATTTCCATGTCCAAATGAATACTTTTCCAGTTGGTTTCAGTTGAGAATTGACACGTTCAAGTCTCTGTGTGCATTTTCATTTAACGTCTTTCTCATCTACCTCTTAGGAACCCAAGATGACACGTTCCAAATTCAAGGAAGTGGTAGAAAAAGGAGTGGTGAGTTCACTGCCTCTAGTGTGTACGTTTTAGCATACATTTAGATTTGTCATGTTATGCTATTGAGCCTCTTGTAATTACATTTTTGTGTCATTTCAGGTAATTCCCACTTGGAACATCTCACCCATTAAAAAGGTCAATAAAGAGAAGGTAAGGGAAAGGGATACCTAGTCAGTTGCACAACTGAATCCATTCAACCGAAATGTGTCTTCTGCATTTAACCCAACCCAATCAGAGAGGCGCGGGGGGCTGCCTTAATCGACATCCATGTCATCGCTGCCCGGGGAGCAGTTGTTGTTGGGGGTTAACTGCCTTGCTCAAGGGCAAGACGGCAGATCTTTCCCCCTTGCCTTCTCGGAGATTCGAACCAGCGACCTTCCGGTTACTGGCCCAATGCTCTTAACCGCTAGGCTACCTGCTGCCACCATCAATTGTCCTGCTACTGCTATTAAAGTAGTATCAAACACTCAATACTTGACTGGAAAGTATGGCACGTACTGGAAAGGGCTGAAGTGCTTGTCTGTTTCTTTCCCTTCATTTTCAGTCTCAACAGTTTGTAGACATTCAACTAGCGGAGGAAGACTCCTCTGATGAAGAGTACTGCCCCGACGAAGAGGAGGAGGACGAGACAGTGGAAGATGTAAGAGATTCATAGGATTTGACTGTGTCTTGTTGTTAGCTTGAGGCCTGAATATATATATATATATATATATATATATATATATATATATATATATATATACACACACACAGTGGGGAGAATAAGTATTTGATACACTGCCGATTTTGCAGGTTTTCCTACTTACAAAGCATGTAGAGGTCTGTAATTGTTATCACAGGTACACTTCAACTGTGAGAGACGGAATCTAAAACAAAAATCCAGAAAATCACATTGTATGATTTTTAAGTAATTAATTTGCATTTTATTGCATGACATAAGTATTTGATCACCTACCAACCAGTAAGAATTCCGGCTCTCACAGACCTGTTAGTTTTTCTTTAAGAAGCCCTCCTGTTCTCCACTCATTACCTGTATTAACTGCACCTGTTTGAACTCGTTACCTGTATAAAAGACACCTGTCCACACACTCAATCAAACAGACTCCAACCTCTCCACAATGGCCAAGACCAGAGAGCTGTGTAAGGACATCAGGGATAAAATTGTAGACCTGCACAAGGCTGGGATGGGCTACAGGACAATAGGCAAGCAGCTTGGTGAGAAGGCAACAACTGTTGGCGCAATTATTAGAAAATGGAAGAAGTTTAAGATGACGGTCAATCACCCTCGGTCTGGGGCTCCATGCAAGATCTCACCTCGTGGGGTATCAGTGATCATGAGGAAGGTGAGGGATCAGCCCAGAACTACACGGCAGGACCTGGTCAATGACCTGAAGAGAGCTGGGACCACAGTCTCAAAGAAAACCATTAGTAACACACTACGCCGTCATGGATTAAAATCCTGCAGCGCACGCAAGGTCCCCCTGCTCAAGCCAGCGCATGTCCAGGCCCGTCTGAAGTTTGCCAATGACCATCTGGATGATCCAGAGGAGGAATGGGAGAAGGTCATGTGGTCTGATGAGACAAAAATAGAGCTTTTTGGTCTAAACTCCACTCGCTGTGTTTGGAGGAAGAAGAAGGATGAGTACAACCCCAAGAACACCATCCCAACTGTGAAGCATGGAGGTGGAAACATCATTCTTTGGGGATGCTTTTCTGCAAAGGGGACAGGACGACTGCACCGTATTGAGGGGAGGATGGATGGGGCCATGTATTGCGAGATCTTGGCCAACAACCTCCTTCCCTCAGTAAGAGCATTGAAGATGGGTCGTGGCTGGGTCTTCCAGCATGACAACGATCCGAAACACACAGCCAGGGCAACTAAGGAGTGGCTCCGTAAGAAGCATCTCAAGGTCTTGGAGTGGCCTAGCCAGTCTACAGACCTGAACCCAATATAAAATCTTTGGAGGGAGCTGAAAGTCCGTATTTCCCAGCGACAGCTCCGAAACCTGAAGGATGTGGAGAAGGTCTGTATGGAGGAGTGGGCCAAAATCCCTGCTGCAGTGTGTGCAAACCTGTTAATTTGCAAATGAATTACTTACAAATCATACAATGTGATTTTCTGGATTTTTGGATAAAAATTACAGACCTCTACATGCTTTGTAAGTAGGAAAACCTGCAAAATCGGCAGTGTATCAAATACTTGTTCTCCCCACTGTATATATATATATTTTAAATCATGCATTGTAAGGCATTCATCATGCTTACGGAGTCATTGTTGTAGTTAAATAAGCGAAACAAAGTGTTTCAGCTTTATGACCTTTAGAATGCCATAGATACATTATGCTTGTATATTTCAATACTTTAAATAGAAAATGTGTTGTGTTTCTATGTATCTCTACAGTGGGGAAAAAAAGTATTTAGTCAGCCACCAATTGTGCAAGTTCTCCCACTTAAAAAGATGAGAGGCCTGTAATTTTCATCATAGGTACACGTCAACTATGACAGACAAAATGAACTATGACAGACAAAATGAGAGAAAAAAAATCCAGAAAATCACATTGTAGGATTTTTTATGAATTTATTTGCAAATTATGGTGGAAAATAAGTATTTGGTCAATAACAAAAGTTTCTCAATACTTTGTTATATACCCGTTGTTGGCAATGACACAGGTCAAATGTTTTCTGTAAGTCTTCACAAGGTTTTCACACACTGTTGCTGGTATTTTGGCCCATTCCTCCATGCAGATCTCCTCTAGAGCAGTGATGTTTTGGGGCTGTCGCTGGGCAACACAGACTTTCAACTCCCTCCAAAGATTTTCTATGGGGTTGAGATCTGGAGACTGGCTAGGCCACTCCAGGACCTTGAAATGCTTCTTACGAAGCCACTCCTTCGTTGCCCGGGCGGTGTGTTTGGGATCATTGTCATGCTGAAAGACCCAGCCACGTTTCATCTTCAATGCCCTTGCTGATGGAAGGAGGTTTTCACTCAAAATCTCACGATACATGGCCCCATTCATTCTTTCTTTTACACCAGGGGTGTCAAACTCATTTTAGCTCAGGGGCCACATGGAGGAAAATCTATTCCCAAGTGGGCCGGACCGGAAAAATCATGGTATATATAACTTAAAAACAACAACTTCAGATTGTTTTCTTTGTTTTAATACGATCAACATACAACATAAAGCTGGAGCCTGAGGACAGTGTGTCCAAAATAGTACAAGCACAACATCACTATTAATCATAAAACACGTCAAGTTTATTTGAAAATTCTAAAGAAAAAGAACACACAAACACACAATGCCTCAGTGATTAACAGAACTGTTTCACAGATCACAGAACTATATCAGGGTGTCATTTCTCAGGCAGAAATGTAGATAAAAATAATGAAATCCTGTTCCCCAAACAAGTGCAAGAACCACAGAGTCAAGAATAGGTTAAATATACAAATAAAATCAATTAAAAACAATAGCACATCAACATAAAAACATATAAACATAAAGCTGGAGCCTGAGGACAGTGTCCAAAAGCACAACATCACTATTAATCATAAAACACTTCAAGTTATTTGTAAGTTCTGAGGACAAAGAACACACAAACACACAATGCCTCAGTGATTAACAGAACTGTTTCACAGATCTATATCAGGGTGTCATTTCTCCTTTTTCATTTTCTCCTGAGTGGCACAGTGGTCTAAGGCACTGCATCGCAGTGTTAACTGTGCCACTAGAGATCCTGGTTCGAATCCAGGCTCTGTCGCAGCCGGCCGCGACCGGGAGACTCATGGGCGGCGCACAATTGGCCCAGCGTCGTCCAGGGTAGGGGAGGGAATGGCCGGCAGGGATGTAGCTCAGTTGATAGAGCATGGCGTTTGCAACGCCAGGGTTGTGGGTTTGATTCCCACGGGGGGCCAGTATAAAAAAAATATGTATTCACTAACTGTAAGTCGCTCTGGATAAGAGCGTCTGCTAAATGACTAAAATGTAAAAATGTAAATTTCTCAGGCAGAAATGTAGATAAAAGTAATGAAATCCTGTTCCCCAAACAAGTGCAAGAACCACAGAGTCAAGAATAGGTTAAATATACAAATAAAATAAAATCAATTAAAAACAATAGCACATCAACATAAAAACATATAAACATAAATCTGAAAGCGTTGCTCAAACTCCCGTAACAGTCCCGTTATTTTATCTTTGAACCGCTTCATGTCTGCCACATGTTGGGTCGCGCGCACACATTTTTCAGACAGGGGAAGTGAGCTGCATCACCACCGGCAAGTTGCGTCTCCCACAATGACAGCTTCAACTTGAAAGAACGTATGCTGTCATAATACTGCGTGACAACTTTGTTGCGCCCTTGCAGCTGTTTGTTCAAGTTATTCAGGTGCTCTGTAACATCCACCATAAATGCAAGGTCCGGCATCCATTCTGTGGAATGAAATTCTAACACTGGTTTGCCCTTTTCTTCCATGAACTGTTCAATTTCTTCTCGTAAATCAAAGAAACGCCTCAGCACAGCACCTCGGCTTAACCATCTTACCTCAGTGTGGTATGGCAGGCCATAGATGTGGTCTTTCTCTCTGAGAAGGCTGTCAAACTGACGGTGATTCAGGCTTCTGGATCGGATGAAATTAACAGTTTGGATGACCACCTTCATGACGTTATCCATCTTTAATGACTTGCAACACAAAGCCTCTTGGTGCAAAATACAGTGAAAAGTCAAAAAATCACGTCCTCCATTTGCAGATTGCACTTTCTCTCTGAACTTTGTCACAACGCCTGCTTTTTTCCCGATCATTGAGGGCGCACCATCTGTAGCCAGGCTGACAGCGCGGGACCAGTCCACTCCGACCCTGTCCAGCGCGCCGACGAGTGCGGTAAAAATATCAGCTGCTGTCGTTGTATCTGTCATCGGCACCAACTCCACGAACTCCTCGGTGACGGTCAATGTGTCATCAACTCCGCGGATGAAAAAATGGCCAGTTGTGCAACATCTGTAATGTCCGTGCTTTCATCAATTGCAACCGAAAACGCAATAAATGACTTTACTTTTTGCTTCAACTGGCTGTCCAAATCCACTGAAAGATCGGAAATCCTGTCTGCAACTGTGTTTCTTGTCAGGCTGATATTTGCAAAAGCCTGCCGCTTTTCAGGGCACACAATCTGCGCTGCCTTCATCATGCATGTTTTTACAAATTCACCCTCACTAAATGGTTTTGAAGCCACTGCGATTTCATTAGCAATGAGGTAGCTAGCTTTCACTGCAGCGTCACTGATGTCTCGGCTGTGAGTAAACACAGACTGCTGTTTCTTCAGACCCGCCAACAGTTCATTCACCTTCTCTCATCTCCGCTGTCCTTGAAAGTTGTCATATTTGTCGGCATGAAGACTCACATAGTGGCGACGAAGGTTATATTCTTTCAGCACTGCAACATGCTCTGAACACACCAAACATACAGCTTTCCCATTCAATTCCGTGATTAAATAGGATGACCATTTTTCTTGGAACACTCTGCGTCCACTTTTCTTTTTTTTGACAGAGACATATTGGGGCAATGAGGGTGCCAAAGCACATAATGTTAAAAGTAGAAGCCGTAATATATATCGCGGGCAAAACAAAGTAGCTCATTGGCTGCACGTGCTTGACCTACTTGCTCTGTCCCGGTATAAACAGTTTGCTTGCTTAACACAATTGCTATTGCGCCATCCAGTGGACGCAATTGGAACAGCAGTTTATTTTATTGAAAAATTGCAGCGCATTTTTATACTTTACAATTTTTTTTATTTTTATTTTTTAAATAATTTTAAAAAAATCATCTCGCGGGCCGGATTAAACCCGTTTGCGGGCCTGATCCGGCCCGCGGGCCATACGTTTGACACCCCTGCTTTACACGGATCAGTCGTCCTTGTCCCTTTGCAGAAAAACAGTCCCAAAGCATGATGTTTCCACCCCCATGCTTCACAGTAGGTATGGTGTTCTTTGGATGCAACTCAGCATTCTTTGTCCTCCAAACACGACAAGTTGAGTTTTTACCAAAAAGTTCTATTTTGGTTTCATCTGACCATATGACATTCTCCCAATCCTCTTCTGGATCATCCAAATGCACTCTAGCAAACTTCAGACGGGCCTGGGCATGTACTGGCTTAAGCAGGGGGACACGTCTGGTACTGCAGGATTTGAGTCCCTGGCGGCGTAGTGTGTTACTGATGGTAGGCTTTGTTACTTTGGTCCCAGCTCTCTGCAGGTCATTCACTAGGTCCCCCCGTGTGGTTCTGGGATTTTCGCCCCTTGTGATCATTTTGACCCCACGGGGTGAGATCTTGCGTGGAGCCCCAGATCGAGGGAGATTATCAGTGGTCTTGTATGTCTTCCATTTCATAATAATTGCTCCCACAGTTGATTTCTTCAAACCAAGCTGCTTACCTATTGCAGATTCAGTCTTCCCAGCCTGGTGCAGGTCTACAATTTTGTTTCTGGTTCCTTTGACAGCTCTTTGGTCTTGGCGATAGTGGAGTTTGGAGTGTGACTGTTTGAGGTTGTGGACAGGTGTCTTTTTATACTGATAACAAGTTCAAACAGGTGCCATTAATACAGGTAACGAGTGGAGGACAGGGGAGCCTCTTAAAGAAGTTGTTACAGGTCTGTGAGAGCCAGAAATCTTGCTTGTTTGTAGGTGACCAAATACTTATTTTCCACCATAATTTGCAAATAAATTCATAAAAAATCCTACAATGTGATTTTCTGGGAAAAAAATTCTCAATTTGTCTGTCATAGTTGACGTGTACCTATGATGAAAATTACAGGCCTCTCTCATCTTTTTAAGTGGGAGAACTTGCACAATTGTTGGCTGACTAAATACTTTTTTCCCGCACTGTATATATATTGAAATGAATGTATTGAACTTTGTGTGTGTGTTGTAGACATTTCAGGAGAGTGACATGGAGAGCACGGCCTCGTCTCCTAGGGGAACCAGAGGAGGCTTCCACAGGGGAATACACACACAGTGGGACGACGACCGGAGCTGCAGCCCCATGCAGGTGACACACACACTCAATACAATTTTTTATATTTGTATTTGTACCTCAGGCAATGTATATGTAAAAACATTTGTTTTTACATATACAGGTCCATCGCAGCAGGTCCAGACACTTGAGGGCGGAGGTGGTCCCCATGGGCCCTCCCCCTCCACCCCAGCCTTCCTCCTCTGGCCCCCAGGGTTCATCTACCACCAGGGCCCCTCCAGAGTTCAGCTTCCTGGAGAAGCTCCATGCCGTGGAGGAGGAGCTGGCCATAGGTCCCATCTGCCTGGAGCCCTACCAGGTACCAGGGCGATTTCACGCCAGGATAGGCCGAAAATATTTTTGCTATCTTAGATTGTTCTGGCAATTCTCACATAGAAACTTAATTGGGAGGAATGATATTTCACATGCTTTTTACATTTGTATCACTATTTTTTTGTTGGGAAAATCATAATGAAAGTGGCCATTTTAGGCTCTTTTTAAACCTATACTGTACATGCCTCCTGTAAGACCCTATGATTTGTGAAACGTACATGATACAGACAAACTCTTGGTGTCATTATAATCCTTATAGTGTGCTCTAAAATGTGGAGTATGTCTAGATTCTGAAATACAATTTTTCAACATTATAATTATTAATATCTCAAATAACCTAATTGATTTTGTTCATTGTAGTAATAATAATAATATGCCATTTAGCAGACGCTTTTATCCAAAGCGACTTACAGTCATGTGTGCATATATTTTTTACGTATGGGTGGTCCCGGGGATCGAACCCACTACCCTGGCATTACAAGCACCATGCTCTACCAATTGAGCTACAGAGGACCACATATGTAAGACATATTGTTTGGAACAATATACTCTACAAGTACATCACATTTCCAGAGTGGGCTCTCTGCTAATTCTGAAGGTAAGATTTGTTTTATGAACACCACCAACACAGTAAATCGGAAAATGGATTCAAAGGGAACTCCCTCTGCTGGAGATTTGCTGAATGTGCAATCCTAAAGGAGGGCTGTGATTGGTTAATGACCTAAAATGTCAAATTCTATGTATAAAATGGGTCATACCTTCAAAAGTACCAGAGTCCACTGGAAATTTGACGTGTTTGAAGAGTATATTGTTCCAACAATGTCTAAAAAAAAGCTAAATCAAAAAGGTTTCTTTTGCGATATTGATATTTTGTAGTTTAATCAATTAATGTGCAAATAACAGTCGTTTTTCAGAATCTAGACACTACATATTTTATAGCACACTAAGGAGTATAATGACACCAAGATGTTGTCTGTATCAGTACAGTTCACAGGGTCTTACAGGAGACATGTGTAATTTCTAAAAAGGGCCCGAAATGGCCACTTTCATCATTATTTTCTCAAATGGTTTATGATAAAAATTAAAAAAGCCTTCCTTCCTCCCTTCCTCCCAAATAAGTTTCTATGTGAGAATTGCCAGAAAAATCTGAGATACCAAAAATATTTTCGCCCTATCCTGCCGTGGAATCGCCCACCACCCACACCAGACAAGCACTTACAGTGGGGAGAACAAGTATTTGATACACTGCCGATTTTGCAGGTTTTCCTACTTACAAAGCATGTAGAGGTCTGTAATTTTTATCATAGGTACATTTCAACTGTGAGAGACGGAATCTAAAACAAAAATCCAGAAAATCACATTGTATGATTTTTAAGTAATTAATTTGCATTTTATTGCATGACATAAGTATTTGATACATCAGAAAAGCAGAACTTAATATTTGGAACAGAAACCTTTGTTTGCAATTACAGAGATCATACGTTTCCTGTAGGTCTTGACCAGGTTTGCACACACTGCAGCAGGGATTTTGGCCCACTCCTCCATACAGACCTTCTCCAGATCCTTCAGGTTTTGGGGCTGTCGCTGGGAAATACGGACTTTCAACTCCCTCCAAAGATTTTCTATTGGATTCAGGTCTGGAGACTGGCTAGGCCACTCCAGAACCTTGGGATGCTTCTTACGGAGCCACTCCTTAGTTGCCCTGGCTGTGTGTTTCGGGTCGTTGTCATGCTGGAAGACCCAGCCACGACCCATCTTCAGTGTTCTTACTGAGGGAAGGAGGTTGTTGGCCAAGATCTCGCGATACATGGCCCCATCCATCCTCACCTCAATACGGTGCAGTCGTCCTGTCCCCTTTGCAGAAAAGCATCCCCAAAGAATGATGTTTCCACCTCCATGCTTCACGGTTGGGATGGTGTTCTTGGGGTTGTACCCATCCTTCTTCTTCCTCCAAACACGGTGAGTGGAGTTTAGACCAAAAAGCTCTATTTTTGTCTCATCAGACCACATGACCTTCTCCCATTCCTCCTCTGGATCATCCAGATGGTCATTGGCAAACTTCAGACGGGCCTGGACATGCGCTGGCTTGAGCAGGGGGACCTTGCGTGCGCTGCAGGATTTTAATCCATGACGGCGTAGTGTGTTACTAATGGTTTTCTTTGAGACTGTGGTCCCAGCTCTCTTTAGGTCATTGACCAGGTCCTGCCGTGTAGTTCTGGGCTGATCCCTCACCTTCCTCATGATCATTGATGCCCCACGAGGTGAGATCTTGCATGGAGCCCCAGACCGAGGGTGATTGACCGTCATCTTGAACTTCTTCCATTTTCTAATAATTGCGCCAACAGTTGTTGCCTTCTCACCAAGCTGCTTGCCTATTGTCCTGTAGCCCATCCCAGCCTTGTGCAGGTCTACAATTTTATCCCTGATGTCCTTACACAGCTCTCTGGTCTTGGCCATTGTGGAGAGGTTGGAGTCTGTTTGATTGAGTGTGTGGGACAGGTGTCTTTTATACAGGTAACGAGTTCAAACAGGTGCAGTTAACAGGTAATGAGTGGAGAACAGGAGGGCTTCTTAAAGAAAAACTAACAGGTCTGTGAGAGCCGCAATTCTTACTGGTTGGTAGGTGATCAAATACTTATCTTGCAATAAAATGCAAATTAATTACTTAAAAATCATACAATGTGATTTTCTGGATTTTTGTTTTAGATTCTGTCTCTCACAGTTGAAGTGTACCTATGATAAAAATTACAGACCTCTACATGCTTTGTAAGTAGGAAAACCTGAAGAATCGGCAGTGTATAAATACTTGTTCTCCCCACTGTATAATGGCTCCTGCTAGACCAGCGTTTCCCCAAACTCGGTCCTGGGGACCCCAAGGGGTGCACGTTTTGGTTTTTGCCCTAGCACTACAGAGCTAATTAAATTAATAAACTAATCATCAAGCTTTGATTATTTGAATCCCTGTGCTAGACACAACCCATCAATGCGGTGCTCATAGATTTAAAATGGAATTGAAAACCTCACATGTGACTACAGACGCCTCAACGCTTCCGCATTGTCTCCGTGCTGCTGTGCTGTTTGTTGCTACTTGGCTACCTGCCAAACTATTCACGTTTTACTTTTAATAAACGTTTAATCAATCTCTGTGTTCAACAAATTTACCAACTTTTTAGTTTGTCCTCACTCATCTTTTTTCGTTAAACTTTTTCACCCGGACGTTTATCCCGAGACAGAAGAGGGCATTTTTCCTGTGCGTTTTTAGCTGCCAAATTTACTTTAAATTTTTCCCTCGCAACTTTTTTCCCTTATTCAACTTTTTCACTCCGGACGCTTTATCTGGACATGGTTCGTCAACATCTTCAAACGCCCGAAGCTAAGTAGTAACATTAACATGATGTCTTCTAATTGCAGTCGCTTGGACCCTACTCTTAAGCGAATGGAAAGATATAGCTATTGTTTGGAACATATCTCTACAGAAATCCATTCCGAGGGGCTCTCTGCTAATTCTGAAGGTAAGATTTGTTTTATGAACACCACCACACGTAATCGGAAAATGGATTCAAAGGGAACTCCCTCTGCTGGAGATTTGCTGAATGTGCAATCCTAAAGGAGGGCTGTGATTGGTTAATGACCTAAAATGTCAAATTCTATGTATAAAATGGGTCATACCTTCAAAAGTACCAGAGTCCACTGGAAATTTGACGTGTTTGAAGAGTATATTGTTCCAAACAATGTCTAAAAATAAGCTAAATCAAAAAGGTTTCTTTTGCGATATTGATATTTTGTATGTTTAATCAATTAATGTGCAAAATACAGTCGTTTTTCAGAATCTAGACACTACATATTTTATAGCACACTAAGGAGTATAATGACACCAAGATGTTGTCTGTATCATGTACAGTTCACAGGGTCTTACAGGAGACATGTGTAAGTCTAAAAAGGGCCCGAAATGGCCACTTTCATCATTATTTTCTCAAATGGTTTATGATAAAAATTAAAAAAGCCTTCCTTCCTCCCTTCCTCCCAAATAAGTTTCTATGTGAGAATTGCCAGAAAAATCTGAGATACCAAAAATATTTTCGCCCTATCCTGCCGTGGAATCGCCCACCACCCACACCAGACAAGCACTTACAGTGGGGAGAACAAGTATTTGATACACTGCCGATTTTGCAGGTTTTCCTACTTACAAAGCATGTAGAGGTCTGTAATTTTTATCATAGGTACATTTCAACTGTGAGAGACGGAATCTAAAACAAAAATCCAGAAAATCACATTGTATGATTTTTAAGTAATTAATTTGCATTTTATTGCATGACATAAGTATTTGATACATCAGAAAAGCAGAACTTAATATTTGGAACAGAAACCTTTGTTTGCAATTACAGAGATCATACGTTTCCTGTAGGTCTTGACCAGGTTTGCACACACTGCAGCAGGGATTTTGGCCCACTCCTCCATACAGACCTTCTCCAGATCCTTCAGGTTTTGGGGCTGTCGCTGGGAAATACGGACTTTCAACTCCCTCCAAAGATTTTCTATTGGATTCAGGTCTGGAGACTGGCTAGGCCACTCCAGAACCTTGGGATGCTTCTTACGGAGCCACTCCTTAGTTGCCCTGGCTGTGTGTTTCGGGTCGTTGTCATGCTGGAAGACCCAGCCACGACCCATCTTCAGTGTTCTTACTGAGGGAAGGAGGTTGTTGGCCAAGATCTCGCGATACATGGCCCCATCCATCCTCACCTCAATACGGTGCAGTCGTCCTGTCCCCTTTGCAGAAAAGCATCCCCAAAGAATGATGTTTCCACCTCCATGCTTCACGGTTGGGATGGTGTTCTTGGGGTTGTACCCATCCTTCTTCTTCCTCCAAACACGGTGAGTGGAGTTTAGACCAAAAAGCTCTATTTTTGTCTCATCAGACCACATGACCTTCTCCCATTC